TCGTACGGAGTTTTATCATATTTTTTCTGGGGAACCTTATTTAAAAGGTAATTGCTTGTCAAGATTGCTTCGCCCCACATATTTTGTGGCAAGCCCGAACTTACTAGCATCGCGTTCATCATATCTTTCAATGTGCGATTCTTTCGTTCGGCAACACCGTTTGATTGAGGTGAATAGGGTGCGGTACGTTCGTGTACTATACCCACACTAGCGCAAAAGTCACGAATTGGTGCTTCATACTCACCACCTCGATCACTCCTAACCGTCTTAATCCGTCGATTAAGTTGGTTTTCCACTTCATTCTTATAAAGAATGAATTTATCGATTGCTTCGTGTTTATTTTTTAATAAATAAACGTAGCTACAGCGAGTGCTATCATCGATAAAGGTAATAAAATATTTATTAGCGCCACGTGTTTGTATTGATTTAAAATCACAAACGTCACTATGAATTAACTCAAGTGGTTCCGTTTTTCTTTCAACCTATTTGAAAGACGTTTTCGTTAGTTTTGCCTCTACACAAACTTCACATTTGTGCTTCACATCAATTGTGAATTTAGGAATGTGCTCCATGTTAATTAATCTACGTATAGAATTAAAATTAACATGTCCTAGTCTACCATGCCACACATTGGAAGACTCAAGCAAGTAAGCAGAAGGAATTTTATTATTATTATTAATAATAGTCATTACATTGAGCTTAAACAGCCCATCACATGTATACCCCTTGCCCACATACATTCCCGACTTAGACAAAACCAGTTTGTCCGACTCAAAAACCATGCGAAAGCCATGTTTGTTCAACAACAAACCGGAAATCAGGTTTTTGCGTATTTCCGGAACGAACAAAACTTGGTTTAGAGTCAGCTCCTTGCCCGAAGTCATCTTCAGGACCACTTTGCCCACGCCTTCAACCGCGGAATGAGTCGAGTTACCCATCCACACTTTCTCACCATTTGATGGCTCAAAAGTTGTGAATAACTCCCGGTTTGAGCAAATATGCCGGGTTGCACCGGTGTCCACGAACCACTCCTTGGAATTGGATCCAATGAGGTTGACCTCGGTCACCACAGCCGCAAGGATGATGTCTTCATCCTTTTGCCCACCTTGCACCAAGTTGACTTGAGAGTCCCTCTTCTTCTTGGGTGCCTTGCAATCCGCGGACTTGTGTCCGTTTTTATTGCAATTGAAGCATTTTCCATTGAACTTTGTCTTGGAAACGCCTCCCTTGGGACCGAGCTTGCTCTTCCCATTATTTTTATTTTTGGAGCCTTTTGCATGCTCCATCACGTTGGCCTTGGCTCTGTTAACGATTGGGAGTTTCCCATCGTTCTTCCTGTTTTCCTCTTCAATCCGCAGACGGAGGAACAATTGCTCCAAGTTCATTTCCTTTCGCTTATGCTTAAGGTAGTTCTTGAAATCCTTCCAAGCCGGCAGCAATAAATGGATAATTGACGCCACTTGGAAAGACTCATTAACTGTCATACCTTCATCTCGAATTTCGTTGAAGATCATTTGCATCTCCTCAACTTGACTCAAGACCGTCTTCGAATCCACCATTTTAAAATCAAGGAATCGACCAACAACAAATTTCTTTGCGCCGGCATCCTCGCTTTTATATTTGTGGTCCAAAGCATTCCATAGCTCCTTAGTCGTAGCTAGTTTGCTATATACGTCGTACAAAGCATCATGCAGCCCGTTCAACACATAGTTTCGGCAAAGGAAGTCCGAATGCTTCCATGCCTCAACCACGTTGAAAGATTGCGCATCCACGTCACCCCCGGTTGCTACCGACGCATCCTCGGTCAAGAACCTCGCAAGACCGAGAGTAGTGAGATAGAAGAGCATCTTTTGCTGCCACCTCTTGAAGTTTAACCCATTGAATTTCTCGGGTTTCTCCACAGAGTTGCTTGACATGGTCACCATAGGGATAGCCCTTTGGTTGGCCAAAGCAGATGCACCGCGTTGTGAACTATTGTTCACCGGTGCTCCGCTTTCAGAGTGATTGTCGTTCAGAACATTCTGCCCAACACCAATCTCGTTTTCTTGAGAAGTCATTTTCGTTTCTTAACGTTTTCCGAAAACACAAAAAAATAAGTTCGTTCACCAAAGTGACAAACTACGATTTAAGATTGTTTACCACAGTAGAACAATCAGCAAATACGCTTTAAGATTGTTGGGTGTGTTTCGGAAAATAAAGGAAATTAATTAAAATAAATTAATTAAATAAAATGACTAGAGAAAAACAAGAAAGGAGATGAAGCAGAATTAGTCAAAGCTCGTGCTACGCACGATGTCCTTAAAACGTATTTGTTACCTCCCACGGTGCTAGGAGCGTTGCAACAATCGTTTCCTAGGATACGATGACTACGAACTAATGTTTCAGCACACAAACAAGAGTTCCAGTGAACGAGAACCAAGTATGAACACAGAAGGAATTTGCAGAGTAGCTGGAAGTGTTTTTAGCTCAAGAAAACGTGAGGAATGTATTGTGTGTTGTCAAACCGTGTGTTTGTTGCAAAGCACCTGCCAGCCTTTTATAGGAGGGTTTGTTGTGTGTTAAATGGGGTGTTAATGGACATCAATGACAAGAACGTTGGACATTGAATCATCCATGAACTGTCCATTTAACGTTGCATTAAAAGACAAGAACGTTGGACATTTAATGGCTTGGAGCAGTTCTGATGCGCGATCAGAATACCCCCATTAGAGTTGGAGCAACTCTGATGCTACCAGAATACCCCCATCAGAGTTAGAGCAACTCTGATGCGAAGCCACCAGAGTTGGAAACAAAAATTAGACTGTATCTTTGAATGATAGGTTTTCGGACGACATTCGTGTCCGCAGGTCGCCCGCGCACACGAGTCGCGATTTTTCTTCTCCGTTTCGGGATTTGATCGGCACCCCCCCCCCCCTCCCTGCGCGTAAGAGAGAGCATTTACCTTTAGGAATCTTAACTCCTTAAAAGAGGCTTCCCTTTATAAGGGGGTCAAAATCCCTTGAGTTTTTCGATGTGGGATAAAACACATTAGAAACTCATTATTTTCCCAGTTTTTCCATTTCAACGAGTGAACTTCGAGAATCAATTTCTCATTCACCCGTTATCCGTTTTGAGTGTACCACATATCGAATTGTAGCCCTTAACAAGGACAATCCGAAACCACTTTGACCCGACCCAAATCGGAAGTGGACCCCACTCAAATAATTGCTCCAAAATGACCATTTAATGCAATTTTTAACACATTTTCCCAACAATGTACTCTTCAAAAGGTCATAGACCCTTGAAGACGATAATTTTCCAGAAATACAGATTCTTTCCAAACATGTAATCGTTTTGTCATGTCCTTGGAAGTGATTCAGAAACAGCTCTTTCATTGTTGATAATTTTTTCATCAACTTTGAGTCTCTACCATGGACACTCACCTCCCATATACACCTCCCTTTAAGATATACAACACGTACCCACAGGACCCAAAGAGAATCCGCTTTCTGGTGGATATCCCACAAAGTTTTTGATAAGAGTGCCATATTCTAGATTTGAGAATCTCTTAATCTCAGTCCACCTTCAGATTTTGGTAGACAAATATCTGCTCAGGCGACGTTAGCTCTTCCCCCATCCCATAGAAAGATCCTGCAGAGGGCTACAATACAACCGAAAAATCGAAAATCGAAAACCGAATCAAATCATACCGAACCGTAGCCAAATAAAACCGAACCGCTAATAAACCGAAACCGAATGTAAAAAACCGAACCGAACCGTAGTTGTTTGGTTCGGTTTTGGTTTTTACCCTTCAAAACCAAACCGAACCGAACAAACCGAACTAGTTAAAATATACGGAGTAAAATTTATTTGTCCATCGTTAAGCATTAATCCTAACTAATCCTAATATCATTAATAGTTTTTGATTTTCTTGTGCTAGAGAAATAATGTTTGTTATGTTTAGTTTAGTTTGTGAATTCATTTACACATTCATTGCACGTAATAATGTAGCTATACTGATAATATGTTTTTACTTGTTATTAGTATTAATTAACTTTTATTTTTATTTAACTTAAAGAATTCGTATTGATAAAACAATAAATATTTATCTCAACTATATCACATATAACGTATATACTCATGAACTTTTTTTGAACTAGTCACAAACAATGTAAATTAATAATATATACTTTTATCCCTCTCGCACACTCATATAATTCATGACATATTTATTTATTTTCATTTTTATTTTATTTGTTGTAGTGTGCTTGCATTCTTTATGTAATATATGTTTGATCCCTCAAAGTATTATATCAATTTTAAATCAAATGATAATTTTTTGGTAAAAAACCGAAAAAACCGAAACTGAATCGAAACAAACCAAACCAATTAAACCGTGGTTCCAAGTTTTGGAGTGTAGAACCGAACCGAAAACGAACCAAACTTTTTACTTTGATTCTATATTTGGTTTTAGGTCAAAAAAGAACCGCAAGAACCGAACCCACCCCTAATTATGTACCATTAAAGGTACCGGGAAAGCCTGTAACCAGAAAGACTAAACTGACCGTAAGAATGTAAGATGGATCTGATTAGCTCCACCCTACCCGCGTATGATAGGGTTTTAAGTCCCCACATGTTAATATATTCAGTCGGGGAATCAAGCAATGAGCCATATTGCTCGACTGATAGCTTAAAAGGTGTGAGAGGTATTCTCAGATATCTGATTGGGAAGCTACCTTCGTTAAAGTCAACCAGGTTCAGTAATTCAGTAAGGTTCTGTCCCGAAACTCCTGCAATAAAAAATATTAGAATTTTGTGGATTTGTTTCGTGTGTATAGTCTATTATTGAAACAAAATGTTTAGCTAGTCTAGTTTGAAAAGAATTTCGAAGAGTGGAAAAAGCGATATAGCTTTCACTTTTTTGACTATTTGTGAAAATTCCGAATAAAAAATTACAAGTTTTGTGAAAAAGTAGTAGCATAAACGGATAAATTAAGCTTAGGGCTCTTACACGATCCTTTGCCTAATAAAATTGTCTCAAAGTTCAAATCGTCAACCGTAGAAAATAGTCTTGATCCCGTTTCATATTTCCTCTCAGAGAGTCAGAGTCTTGAATTCTTGATCCCATTTTATTTTTCGGCTCATATCTATAGCTCCGTAATAAAGAGAACCCTAACCCTAAGTTTGGGGTAACCAAGCAAAGACCATGGATGCGAATGAAAGAGGGGCTGGGTTCGGGGACGGCGTCGGTGACCCGAGCGAACAGTTCCACCGGAACGAGGCGATATCTGCTGTTGCGGACGACGGATTTCTTGGAGAAGAGGATGATGATGACTACGAGGATCTTTATAATGATGTGAACGTCGGCGAGAATTTTCTCCAGTCTCTAAGAAAGAACGAAGACACAGGGTTTAGAAATGAGGAGGTTGTGGAAAAGATTCCACCTAATCCTACTCCTCTTACTCCTCTGCCTGCGCAGACGCCCAACTCCGTAGAAGGCGATGGAAATATAGAAAAAGATGAAGAAGGCGGAGCTAAGGTCTCGGACAAGTTGGAAGGTTATCAGAGTATGGGGTTCAGGACGAACCAAATGGGAGCTAGGAGTTCAGTTGCCCCTTCCGGTGGATCAGGGACCCCAGGCATTGACCTTAGAATTGAGTTAGGTCACTCATCAGGTAAAGAAAATGTAGATACAGGAGAGCAGACTGCGATTGGCGATGCACAAAATGAACCCAGAGATCTGCAGCCTCATCCGGCCGCTCCTGTAGGAAATTTAGTTAATGCATTAAACACAGGAAATGATAACATTGCCAGACAAGGTGGTCATACTCATACAACTGGCAACATTGGCAGTGGGGGAGCATATGGAGTAAGTTCTGGAGGTGGATCTGGTGGGGGAACTGTTCTTTTTGTAGGAGATTTACACTGGTGGACAACGGATGCTGAGCTAGAGGCAGAGTTGTGCAAGTATGGCCCAGTGAAGGAAGTGAGATTTTTCGATGAGAAGGCAAGTGGGAAGTCAAAAGGGTACTGCCAGGTTGAGTTTTTCGATCCTGCAGTTGCCACGGCATGCAAGGAAGGAATGAATGGGCATGTTTTCAATGGCAGACCATGTGTTGTAGCCTATGCATCACCTTTCACTGTGAAAAAAATGGGAGAGGCTCAACTTAACAGAAACCAACAGGTGACTCAGACTCCTTCTGCCTCTCAAGCTAGGAGAGGCCCTGGAGATTCAGCAGCTAAACCAGGTGGTAACAATATTGCTTCAGGTGGTAACTATCAAGGTGGTTCGGATAACAATAGAGGAGGTTATGGAAGAGGAAACTGGGGTGGTAGAGGAGGGGGTCAAGGAATGGGGAATAGAGGCCCTCTTGGTCCTATGAGAAACAGACCTGGAGTCATGGGAGGACGTGGTTTAATGGGAAACGGAGGAAATGCATTTGCACAAGGTATGGGTGGCACACCACCAATGTTACATCCTCAAATGATGGGCCCTGGGTTTGATCCTGCATTTGGAGGCCCGATGGGTAGAATGGGCAGCTACGTAGGTTTCCCTGGTGGACCAACTCCTCCGTTTTCAGGAATCATCCCTTCTTTCCCACCTGTTGGAAGTGTTGGGTTGCCTGGTGTTGCCCCTCATGTCAACCCAGCATTCTTTGGCAGGGGGATGCCTATGAATAGTATGGGAATGATGCCAGGCCCAGGTGTAGATGGGCCGCCGAATATGGGAATGTGGCCAGATATGAATATGGGTGGGTGGAACAGTGAAGATCACGGAGGTAGAGCTGCTGGTGAGTCAAGCTATAATGAAGAAGCTGTGTCTGATCATCAACATGGAGAAGTAAGTCACGATAGAACTTGGCATAGTGGGATGAAAGAAAAGGATAGAGGTGGAGAGAGGGACTGGTCTGGCTCCTCAGACAGAAGATATAATAGGGATGATAAGGAACAGGGATTTAACAGGGAGATGCCTCGAGAAAAGGATGTAGGACATGATCATGATTGGTCGCCAGAGAGGAAGCATAGAGACAGCAGAGATGTTGGACGAGAGAGGGAGAGAGAACGTTCGAGAGAGAGAGACCGCGATCGTGATCGTGATCGTGATCGTGATCGTGGACATGATCGTGAGCGGGACTATCATAGGGATGAAAGACATGGTGGTCATCATAGGTACAGGGAGCATGAGACTGAACACAATGACGGGGGAAGATCATCAAGAACTCATTCAAAGTCAAGACTATCACATGAGGATGAGCATCGATCAAGATCCAGGGACTCTGAATATGGGAGAAGGAGGCGAATGACCTCCGAATAATCCCTTTCAGGAGCTTTATTCTCAAGAATATGAAGCATATACTACATGAACTGAGCAGTTTTTGCATGCATTTGAGGCCTTCTTATTATTTCCCGTTATCTTTGGTAATCTTTCAGTGCTGGGGATTATCTCATAGCAATTCAAGTAAGTTCCCTGCGCCCATAATTATTTTATACCAATGCTAGCATCTTTTGTTTTTTAATCTTGCATTCATGTGCCCTATTTAATATTCCGTCCATCTCAAATGTAAGATAGATTTGTGTTTAGTGCAAGTTTTAAGAAAATAAAGGAAACAGTTGTGATATAATGTTACCTCCAAGAAGAAGAAAATGAAGTATGAGTGTATGGGTGTTCAAAAAAGTGAAGGGTGAAATGATAGGTAAAAGGATAAAGTGGTAAAGTATGGGTGGAATTTAAAGTATGATTTGCTCACATTTTTGGGGCAGACTGTAAAGAAAAGATTATCTTACAATTTAAAAATTAGGATAGCGGTAGCGAGTATTTTTTGTAATCGTTCTTATCAGATGCTCTTCATCCGTCAGCTTTGCAGTTTAATTGCCTGGTGCACAAGATTTCGTTTTTATAGTAATAAATAGTTAAGACCACTGAGCAAAAAAACTGAAATCATCAGGTCTCGTTTTGTTTGCAGAAAAGGCAAAGGTAAAAAGTTGAAAAGAAAACTTTTTTATCAGGGGTCATTTTTTTGTACTAATAGTGAATTTTGGGTTTCTAATTTTTGTAAGAGCTAAGAGTGAATTGGGTTTCTTATTTCTGTAAGTGTTAAGAGTGATTTTCGATTTTCTTATTTCTGTAAGTGTTAAGAGTGAATTTAGGTTTTCTAATGTTTGTAAGTGGTAAAAGTGAATTTGGTTTTTCTGCTGAAGTTATACCAATACAACAGCAATTGGCCACCTTGTCATCTATTTATCTATTTGCTTGTCGTACTTAAATTAAATTTAACCACTATCTGTGAACACGATATATATATACACAATTAACTCTGGTTTCGTCTTGAGCGTAATCCCAAAATCTTAGTGGTATTTTAAATACTTTCATCTGGATCTAGTAGGTCTTGATAATCCCTCCAAAAGTGTCCTTTTTGGAGGTGGTATCATTTTTAATGATATGGTTGGCCTTTTTTCAACTTCAGCATTTGGCAGTGGATTGTATTTCTGAAGCTAATTTCAATAAACTTGATTGTTTAAAAATTAGGTAATAGCTTGAGGGAAATCATTTCTGCAGTCAAATAGTTCAGCAGTAGTTTGATGCATCTTCAAGAGGGGAGTAACTTGGACACGGCAGGGTATGATGGACCTCAGGCAAGAATGATACGGCTGGTGGAACTTCATTGTTGGCCTCATTTGCATTTATGTTTTACTTATAATTATGAGTTGGACAAAGAGTAACAGACCATTATTGGTGATGATGATGCTTATGACTTGAAACTGCTGAAAATCTGATTGTCTTAGATGAATTTAGTTCTGTGGTGTACGAATGTGATGTATTATTAGGATTTAAGAAGAGGTTGGTGTTAATTTTTCCTTGTTGGTGAGTCTTGTTTTTTCTTTATGTTGTAATTTTAACTCAGTTACCCAGGTTTTTTATGGGTACCCAATGTGTTCTATGATCTCATGCTGGGTGAGGATGCGCGACTTGAGCCTGCCAGAAGTCCGACAGGTAGATTGATATAGTTTTATGTTATGTGAATGTGATGTATCACTTACTGTATTAGGGAAGGATCCACCACCTTTTTTTGTTTTTGTTTTTGTTTTCCATTTCCTACTTTTATAGTACTTGAGATGTATGTTGTAATTTCTCCTTGATGTTGTATTTTAGTTGGAGGGCCCTTTTTATGTAGTAATGGGAGGTTTGATGCTCACACAATGTTTGGGCTTCCTTAGAGTGTAAATAGAAAGAGTCGCAGTTCTAACACATTCTTTGATTAAATTGGAAATGAAGTGATTATATTCTACTGATATTTCTTTGCTCATTCCCTTTCCTGTGATAGACCTCTCATCTCTTTTTGGCATGTGAATTACGAACATAAATTGTCTCCTTTTGTAGTATAAATTACAGAGTTTCGCTTTTTATATTTTTATTAGAGTAATACGACTTGTATAAAACATTTGGTATGGTAAACATATACGTAGTATGACTTTTGTGAAACATTTAGCTTTCAAGCATGAATCATGAATGTGTTTCCTTAATCCTTAGGGTTCGCATTTCAGGCATGAATCATGAATGTGTTTGTGTTGACGGATTTAATTTATGAATATAATTTTAAAAAGGGAAAAATTATTAAAATACCACAAACTTTGAAGAGGTGTGAGTTAAATACTCCAAACTTGCATAGTTAATTTAGATATCCCAAACTTTATATTAAAAGTTATTTTAGCATCATGGTCATGTATTATTTCTTTCAAAAAGTGAATTTATAGTGGTAATTGCATAATTTAAAATAGCAAACTAAAAGTGTTGCACTCATATATATTAGGGGTAATATTATTTACTCCGTATTTCACAATGAAAGTTTAGAATGTTAATTGTGTCTTCAATCTTCATGAATGCTAAAATATTTTTAATTACGCAATTAACACCCCAAATTCACATTTTCGAAAGAAATAATAGTTGACTGTGGTGCTAAAATTATTGTATACATGAAGTTTGAAGTATTTAAATTACTTATGCTAGTTTGGAGTGTTTATCTCACACCCCTTAAAAGTTTGGGTTATTTTAATTATTCTTCCCTTTTTAAAAATTACCTCTATTCTTTTTTGCTTGTGACATACTCTTTTAATAGTTTTTTATTATTTGTCTCATTTTCATTGTTGAAACATATACCTAAGTCTTCCATATTATATTTATTATTATTTTCACTTTTGTTATTTATTTTTCATACGATGACGAGTAAAAAAGAACTTAAAAAAGAACTGAGAGATAACTTCATGTCAAAACGTATAAGCATTATGGTTAACATTCACGCTCCTTAAATAATATTTGATAGCCCTTGAATGGCCTTGAAGGATGTTTATACTTGGATTGTTTTCAATCTCAAACCAGATCAGATTTAAACAGATTAAATTAGACTTAAACAAAATAAATCAGATCAAGCCTGGATTTCTTAGTTATAAAATATACAGAGACCAGACGTTTACCAGATCAGACCAGACTTAAACAGATCAGACCAGCAAATTTCAGCATAAGTAAAAACATCCTAATTGCTAAACATGTTTTTTGATTATTTAGTTTTGTTATGAGACTTTTTTTTTAAATGGAGTTAAACATAACATGTTACCTCAAACAAGACTAACACTTGGTGGTGAATCTTAAACATTAACTTTGAAAGTTCAAATTTATTTTATAGGTTTTGAGTATTCATATACATATATAAATTTTAATACTAGCACTCATATACATGCATTTTTACACTATTGGTTAATTTTTTTGAGTGTTCACAACTACTATAAGTCTGCCTCAGTAACATTATCATCTTTCTTATAAAGGATTTATTTGTTTGCAACATTTTCCTTTTTTGATAAACTTGTCTTTTAAAAGTACTCAATTACCAAAAGGAGTTTAATGCACCAAACCCTCTCGTGATATAGATATTCAGCGCATTAGCCCTTTTGATTTGAAAAATGCATCATACCCCATTGTGTTTTAAATAATCATGCAGAAGTGTGGTCTTTGCTAAATTTGAAGTATGTGAGAAATAAGAAAAGTAAAAAATTGTGTGGTTGAAATTTGAAGTATGTGAGAAATACTAAGTGTTTTCGCACTTAGTATTAAAATACAGTTGTTCATTTGTAACTTAAGTTAGTTATAAATATTTATAATTACATATTTCATTTGTTTCTTATAAAAAATTATTTTATTTTTAAAAAACTGTTGATTTTTTAATTACCTAAATTTATTACCTAGAAATTGTGTGATAACGTTGATGTAAATTTGCCCACACTGGTCGAATTTTTTGGATACGCCACTGCGTCAATAGAGCATCTTTACTGTACGTACAATCTTTGATCCAAAATTCGATTCATTAACTAATTACGTAATATTTTGAAACCGACGTGAGAAGACGAGTTTTAGAACTCAATAAGATCTTTCAACGAGACAGAGAACGCTTTCAATGGAACGAAATGCAAAAAAATATGATCGGATCAAATTCTACACGAGATCAAAGTGAAATTGAAAATGTTTATAAATTTTAGGTTAATATGTACAATTTAGGTAATAGATTCTAAATGAAGATGGAATAACAGATTTAGAATTCGAAATTATTTTTTTTAAAAAAAATCAATTATCAAAATGTCAAAGTTTAGAAAGTCGCCGGCCTGGTTTTCTTCTTCAACCCACAGATATGCATATTTTTGTTTATTGCAGTGGACTTCACAGTCGACCAGCCGAGCAAGCAAAGTAACTCATGAAGAAGAAGAAATAATGATGAAACTGTGGATGATTAGGGCTTTATCTAAAACCCTAATATCTCCCTCTCATGAACACGCTCGCTGCGCTTCGACCTTTGCTCTTAAGAATGTCACGAGATTAAATTTCGACTCTGCGCTCAAAGATTTGCGCAGCCTAATCAGAGATGCGGACTTTGTTGCAATCGACTTGGAAATGACTGGAGTCACCAGCACTCCCTGGAGAGAGTCTTTTGAGTTTGACCGCCACGACATCCGATACCTCAAAGTCAAAGACTCCGCCGAGAAGTTCGCCGTCATTCAGTTCGGCGTTTGTCCGTTCCGATGGGACTCTGTCAAAAAGTTCTTCATAGCTCATCCGTGTGTCCCTTACTTCTAGTGCAGCCAGCCTTCGTCTTTCTATCGTATCATTTATTGCAATCCTTAATTTGTGCAATTTGTAGTATGCTCTTTTTCAGTAAAATTATTTCAATTAAAAGGAGAAAATCGACTTGGTTTTTTTAAGTTTAAATGAAATTATGCTTTGTTTCAGGACCATTTTCTCATTTCAAACCACACGAATATACACGCAAAAAGCAATCTTTTTGTTTTAGAAATAAGTAAAAAGAATTAGAAAACTTTGAATCATTTCTGAAAACCTCAATGTCTACTGTCCACTGTCCAGCAACTCAGCAAGGTCAGTGTATAGAAAACCAAGAAATGCAAAATGTATGTTTCTGTTGGCCTTTTGACATTATTGATGATTTTACTTGGTATTTTTCTACAATCTAATTTTCGCTTTCGCAGGCATAACTTTTACATATTCCCACGTCAAGAGGTTCCAGGAAGTGACCAATCTTATGAGTTCTTATGTCAGACAACGTCTCTCGATTTTTTGGCCAAATATCAATTTGATTTCAATACATGCTTAAGTGAAGGTGTTTAGTACCATCTTTAACTCTCTCCTAGTGATTGTACCTCTTGCATTTTCTTTCCACAACTCCCTTGAATGGTTAAAGGTGCAGCCCGGTGCACATTGGCATCTCCGGAAGGCGAGGGTCTAGGGAAGGGTCCCACCACAAGGGTCTATAAGGAGCAAGCCTTTCCTTGTCATTTTGACAAGAGGTCGCTCCCAAGACTTGACCCTGTGACCTCTAGTCACACACAACAACACTGTAACCGGTGTGCCAAGGATCCACTTCAACTCCCGTGAATGGTTGAAGGAATAAATTATTTACGTAGTACTAGACTACTAGTTAACCGGTCAGTTAAAATAGATTTTCCTATTTGCTGCAGATAATGAATCAGTTATGTGTAAGAAGTCTACTATTCTCCCCTTTTACTTTGAGGTGGGGCTGGACGGGCTTGTGATTGTGGGACATGGAATATGCATCTATAGACTATATGAATTCTAGAATACTAGATTTTTCTGAACCATGCTTGCAATAACTCAAACTATGTCTGAGTTCTGAAATGTTTTCTTATTTTCATGATGTCAGGGATCTCATATTTATCCAGAATTCAAGAAACCGCAGCATTGAAACGCCTAAGTTCTGTGTGTTTGGATGAATCATCTGAATCATTATCTGGCTCGAAGAAAGCTGAAGACCTACAATTTACTAGAATGGTAGATGTTCTATTTGCTGAGCGAATGAAAATCAAGATCCGTGAATGGCGTGACGGCTTGTTACATGGTAGCAATAATAGTTCCATATTCCCACAGACTTCAGATAATCCAGATCAGAGATTTCAGACTATTTTCTTCAAAACACGTCCAGCCTTTGTCCTTAACGGATTTACTTCGCACCAGAAAAAGTTGATTCAAATGGTAACATTACTTTTTTGGTTGCACTGATATCTATGACTTTATACCTGAAGGTGGAGTTGTGGAATTCAAAAAACATATTTTCTGAATGGAGCAATAATTAATCTAGTACTAAGTGTATCTTTTTTAAATCTTGAGGTTCATATACTTGTTTGATTGAATGTTTTCTGCACTTTTGATGACTAGTTATGTGCGTAGGTCATGGAAAAGCATTTCAATGATCTTGCATTTGTCCGTGTTACTGATGAGGAAACTTTGTGTCAAAGGCAATTGGTTGTTTATACCGATTCCAATGAGGACAGGGATTTGCTTATGGTACGATTAAATCCTGCTGTGTTGAATCAGATGCTCAGTTGAGCTATTAAAGTTTTTTCTTACAACTGATCTCTGAGTGTGACTGTGCGCATATATTGTATGTGTGACTAAAAATAATCAGGCTGCAAAAATATTTCTTAGTCTGGTCAGTACAATGACCCTTAAACATTATCTAACAAACTGTGTATGTGTATTGATATTGTGTAGAAGGAAATAAAGGATTGTCTTCTTAACGAAACAAAAAGAAAAGTGAAATCTGCAGTTGGGTTTCGAAAGGTTATCGATCTTCTTTCATCTGAGAAGAAACTGGTTGTTGGTCACAATTGCTTTCTTGGTAAAACAATATTGATGTATTTAATTCTGTCATTATAATTGCTGTTCTGCTTCTATGTCATGTGCTTTTACGTGAAACAGACTTTGCTCACATATATGGGAAGTTTATAGGCCCTCTCCCTTGGAGTGCTGAAGAATATGCTACCTCTCTGCGGAACTACTTTCCATATATAATGGACACAAAAGTACTGTTGAATGCAAATGGCTCTTTTCAGTTCTCAGTGAAGAAAAGCAGCACATCACTATCCAATGCTTTTGCTTCTCTGTGTCCTGGAATTGCATCAGGTGTTAAAGACCCTAGTTTGGTTGATAAGTTGTGTGTTCAGGTAGAGGTTCATGTTGATGAGCAGAGGTTTGCTTCCCCTAAAAGATTTACTCGCTCTATTTGAATTTCCTTTTTGCTTGGTCCTTTAGATGATCTAAGCCTGCCACTGACTTGTTGAAAATGTTGTGTTCTGGTTGTTTTGACTTCTGAATGATAACGAGTGATACCCCTGTTGTTTTTTATTGTTTGCTCCATATTTCTTTCTGTGAAGTTTTTTGCTATCTGCTTCACTTTCCTAATTTGTCAAGGTTTTTCCATATCAAACTGCAATAAAACCCTTTACTCATTTTTTCTATTTTTTTCTACTTTTACATCTTCTCTCTTACGATTCACTACCCATATTATTTTATTTTTCAAACCCTTGAACACACTATTGGAGCAATTAATATAAAATGAAGGGAGTATAAATTGTTAACTGCTGGATCCCAAGTTTTATTAATTGGGGTAGGATGATAAAATATTTCTTTCATATAAATTTTTAATTAGAAAATTCTCATGTAAAAAGGTTTTTTATCGAAGTTGGGGTGGGCCCAGGCCCAGGTTTGCCTACCTACACCCCTGTTATTTAGTGACTGAACATATATCTATATGCAGGTCATTAGACTGGAATTCTGGAGCGAAACATGAGGCCGGCTATGATGCATTTATGACAGGATGCATATTTGCTGAGGCGTGCAATCGTCTGGGAGTTGATTTTGACATGCATTCAACCACATTTGGTCTAGCTGATGAAAAGAAACTTGAAAACTACATCAATCTTCTTTATCTTAGTTGGGCTAATGGAGACATCATTGATCTGAGAACTGGAAAGCGTAATACAGACTGTTTGGCTTCTAGTACAACTCCCAAAACTCAATTCAGGGAAGTTGATTTTCAAAACATTGTTCTGTTGTGGGGCTTACAGCCTACTCTAAAACCAAGTGGGATTAGAGAATGCATATCAAGAGTATTTAGTCAAAGTTCAGTTTCTTCCATCTACTTGATAGATAAAACAGCTGCATTTGTTCAGTTCAGCAAAACTGAAACGGCGGCAGAGTTCCTAGATATGATGGAAAGTTTGAGGAGTAACAATGGTCCGATATCAGTTCTGCATCCCCTCTCAAAGCTCCTAGAGGGCGGTTGCACACGCGCTGCAAACTATGAAGTTTACAGAGAAATATGCATTTCGCCCCTTTCAAAAGTCTTATTTGCAGATCAGGCCGAAGCTGTCAAAATTAAAAAAAGTAGAAGTGGTTCTCTGAAATCCATTTCAGAAGAGGGGATGGTCAAAGAAGATGAAAGATTGGGCATGGAGAATAGTGATGATAATGCCTTCCATAGTTCTGATGAAAAAGAACGGACAAGTTTTGCACAAAGCTTTAGATAAGAAGTTTTTTTTAATTGAATTTTTGTTTTACGACCTATATAATCATCATTACATTCTAAGATATTTCTACTTGGATGGAAACAATGTACAATGTAAGAGGTTACAGAACATTACTTGTGTCATAAATGAAATTAGGTTCTTGTTCTCTTTCTTGGTTTCTGAATTCTGATTATACTGAACCTATTTTATATATCTGTAAGTAGTGGAAACTAGAGTAGGACATTATTCTGACTGGTTATTTGCATCAGAACCACTGTTCTAAAAATCGCGAATCGGGCTAAGCGATTGACTTGGCTGCCTCCTAAGGACCTAAGCTCATAGACGGTCAGAATAATGTGTTAGGAATTCTGGATGATCTAACTCATTTTCTCCGCTGCGTCCAAAAGACATAATTTGATTATCCATCTCTTTTTACTAACTGTACTTATTTTTCTACTTTTTCAGTTAAATAAATTCCACTTTTGAGTGTGTATGAACTTATCTCAATGACTGTAAATAACGAACATTTTATTAAGTCTATTAATTATTATTTTTAAACAAATACATAACATTTAATTATAATGTGAGTTACTTATATTACCAAAATAATATAAACTCATTAGTAAATTAGTAAATTATACTAAAATCATAGAAAATAAAAATAAATTTAAATATCGACCTAACACACACCCCCTTATTTTTTTTTATGGACATTCCCTTGAAAGAAAAATACACTAACACTAAAAAAAATTGGGTTGAGTTCCGGTTTCTCCATATTAGCAGCACTAATAAGCACCATAAGTCATAATCACTCTGGTTGGTGCGTAGGGTGCAGAACCGCCCGGTCCAAAAGCAGGCTGGACCGTGCTTAACTGTTCGCCGCTAGTGAAAATACATGCATCTAGTTGTTGAATGAACATACATACATTTGAACCTATAAAACTGTCTTTTTTTTAAATATCATGTTGAAGAAGAAAGATTCATTGAAGAAACACAAATATCACTATTACCAAGAATTCAATGAAGATAAATCCAAAGTGCTACTACATAAATCTCAGAAACGAGCTAAGAAATCATTAAATCAACACCAACAAAACTGAACCTAAATTTGACCACATGGTCAGACATGCCTCTAGATGAGCAAATAGAGCAACACCATAACTCCTCCAAGAGCAGTAATGAAGTAGGAAACCAGAGAGAGCTTTGAGGTTGAATTGTGTCCCATACTGTGAGAATCCCATCCATGCCCACCCTCTGCTGGTGAGGAAGCTGCAGGCTCTGGTGCAGACACAACAGTGGCTTCAGTAGGGTGCAACACACGGATTGTCAACTTCTGGCCCGCTTTGCAGTGGCTAGGACGCCCGCTAATGAAGTAAAACCACCCGGAGCGCCTGATCGGGAAAACCGTCTCGCCATCCCTGAACTTCACAATCGGGTTCGAAACGTTGCAAGTTAAGTAGTCAGAAGCGCTCACTTCCTCCACAGAGTCGTTCTTGTACTTGAAATCTGAAAACAAAGGCAGCCAAAGTAACCACAACACATCATCATCACCAAGAACACAGGCATATCTTTTTAGCTTAAATGCATAAATCAAGAAAGTAGTCCATTTTCAGCATCAACTACCAGGTAACTCTCACTTTAGAGTTTTATTCATGACTTGTTTTTCTACTTTTTTTGCCACTTTCGGTCCTTTTTGGTCACTTATCCGGTGAGAATCAACGAAGAATGGACCATAAGTGACAAAAAAGTTAGTCATACACAAGAAGTAGAAAATCGAAAGTTGGGGAATAAAAGCGGGAATGTTATGGAACTAAAAATTGAATCTTTTCTAGAGAAACTGACAGAGGGTGTCTCCAATTCGAAAGCGGTTCTGAACAGCCCATTCGTTGTAAGTCTCAGACTCATTTCCAGTGGGTTTGGTCCAACCATTCTTGCCCCCGACTTCAAACTGGAAGGAGGAAACCATGACAGCAGCCAGGGAGGTGAGGAGGATTGAGGCTAAGACAGCATTCTGAATGTTTCTTGGAAAACCTGATGCAAGAAAGCCCATTTTTTCTCTTTTTTAGAAGGGAAGATGGCTAAAGTCTAAAGAGATTTGTTGCAGTAGTAAAGGCATTGGCAGCTTCATGCGGAGTTTATTTATAAAGATGGAGGGCGGGAGTGGGGAAGTGTATGGCAGGGCAGTTACGTTGGAGAATTTGGTGAAGGTGGGGGGAGTGGTATGAGACAGTTAATTAACCATTTTGACTCTTTCATTGGGCTTATATTAATTAATTAATTAATTAATTAATTAATATTAATAAGTAATACAGAAATTAAAAAAAAGTAATACAGAAATTCTACCGTACTCATCTAATTTTAATAACTTTAAAAAAACTACCGAGTAATTTTTATAGTTTTTGGTACTTCGTACATAATGACTCCTTTTTGGCCGTTAGTTGAAAATATTTTTATTTAATTATATCACCTGTTATTACAAATCAGCCCCTAATAAAAACACGGAGTAATTAGTTTCAATTCGTTCAAGTTAGACTAGCTTTAATCGGGAAAAAACAATTATCGAATTTTTAATTTTTATCGAATTAGTCAGAGTAATACTACGCAGTAGTATATTTGTACTCCCTCTACCCCGAAAAGATTTTCCAAATTTCCTTTTCTGGTAGTTCCAAAAAGATTTGTCATTTCCATTTAAAGTAAAAAAAATGTGGCTAAAATTGATTCTCTCTCTTCTGCACAAATTTTAACTCCACAACTTTTACTTTATTAATCCACGTGAAAGTCAACTTTGACCTAAATAAAGTTCATCCGGTCCTAAATAAAGTTCACACTTTCCCTTTTTGGGCTGATCCAAAATAAAGTTCTCACCTCTTCTCTCTTCCTTATTTGGCAAATTATCTACATCCAAACAGTGTCAAACAGTGTCATAACAATGTATTCTATAGTAAAGTCAAATTTATTTTCTTAATTTGTGTGAAGTCAAACACTGAACTTTATTTAGGACCGGAGGGAGTATTTAATAAGGGCTTTTCTAGAATATTACTAGTACGTAGTTAATAATAATGCAAAATTCTCTTTAATTCATTTTTAATTGTAATTTAAAACCGTTTTAACTTGAGTGCCTTAAAAATACAAGTTCGCCAGTGCTTGTAAAATGAGTCATTTGCCACACAGTTCATTACTACCGAGCTCACTCCCAAAAAAACATATGTATCATGTATGCCACCTATATTATACGAAGTAGTTTTTAACTTTTTATATTAGTTTATACGGAGTATTTTACATTATAAACTAACACTCCTTCGGTAAATTACATGGTACAACCGGCTGTACCTAGAGCATGGTACAGCCGGGTCTTTTTTAATTTATTCCAACTCTCAGGACATTAGTAAGTTGGTGCTTCTCTTTTTTTGTCCGGTTGCTTCTCTTTTTCTTCCGCCGGCACTAGGGGTGGGCATAAAAAACCGTAACCGTATAACCGCGCCTAAAAACCGGAAAACCGCCATTTTTCCCGGTTAACCGAACCGCAATTTTTTAAATCCACGGTACGGTTAACCAACCGTGAGAATAAACGGTTCGCGGTACGGTTACGGTTTTAGAAATATGTTATTATCGGTTAACCAATAACCGGTATGTTCATGTCTGGTCATGAACTTCACGTTCTCAGAGGACTTGGAAAGATAAATATGTATCCAACACATCTAGATACATCATACATCAATTCTAATAAACATGTGAAGAAACCAAATTCTGTTTGTCACTATAAAATTTTTAATTTCATATTATTAATAATTAGTCAAAGCTTTTGTGAGATATAATTAATTAGCCCATTCTGCAATCGTGAGACTTGAACATGTGTATTCTTTTTTTGAAGCAATTGAACACGTTTATTCTTATTAAGTGTATTTTATCTTTTCCCGTATTCCACTCTCAAAATTTATTTTTCTCTTGTTTGGACTTAATTAATATAGAAAGAACATGGTGTGTGTATATATTTAATCAATGATTTGATGGTTTTTGGTTAACCGGGTTGTGGTTAACCGAAGTTTTGGTTAACCGATACTCGGTTAACCGAAGTTTTGGTTAACCGATACTCGATTAACCGAAGTAATAGATTTCTCGGTTAACCGGAAAGTTGGTTAACCAAAACACGGTTAACCAATCACGCCCACCCCTAGCCGGCACTACTCTAGACTTACGGGTTGCTTCACTTTTTTTTCTTTTCTCTTTTTCTTTCTTTTGTTTTTTCATTTCGTTTGACTTTTTCTTCCGCCGTCACTACTCCAAGCTTGAGGGTTGCTTTACTTTTTTTTTCTCTTTTTATTTCTTTTGTTTTTTCAATTCGTTTGAGTCGTTGCTTCCCTTCTTTCTTTTTCTTTAATTTACTTGTTGTTTTTCTTTTCTTTATTTTTTCTTTAACAATCTTTTACTTTATTTTTTATTCAATTATTATAATAATGTATTATACAAAATATTATTTAATGTTTGAGTTTGTTTTTTTTTGTTTTTCCAATCAACCTTCAAACTTAAGCTTTTTAATTTGTGCATTACAAAATATTTTAGGTATTATAGAAAAGAGTTTGTGTTATATTCGAATGAGTATAACGATTAAAAAAATGAGCATACACAATTGAGTTTAGGTATTATAGAAAAGAGTTTATGTTAAGCTCAAATGAGTGTCGCGCCCTAGATGAATGAGTATACACAAATGAGTTTTTGAATTTTTTAATATTCAGTTTTTAAGTTATGTATGCTCATTTAGAATCACTTTATACTCATTTTAAAAGGTTGCACATTTCAAACATATCGTACTACATTAGAAATGAGTTTTATGTTAAATTAAAATGAGCATCACGTCCAAAATAAATGAGCACACACAAATGCATTTTAGAGTTTTTATACTCATTTTGTAAGTTACGTGTGCTCATTTAGTATTGCTTTATACTCATTTTAAAAGGTTGCACATTTCAAACGTATCATACTACATTAGATTAATTAAAATTGATTATAGACATAACTTAAGACTTTTTAATAAACAAAAAGTGATATTCTACGTAGAAGGTATAAGCAGAGATCATTGATGTTCACCGTTAGGCTCCCGATACTCAAAAGAACAAGCTCAATGCTCATAAAAAATGCATAAAATGCTCATTTAAGAGAATACGTGGTTTTCACAAAAATTACAAGTTTGTCACCGGCTGTACAGTGGTCACTGTACAGCTGGCTGTACAGTATACGGATCCCCTTTCATCCCATTTAAAGGTTCCCGTCCACTATTCTCCGGTCAACGTGCATTGTTCTTAATTTTTTACTTTTTATATCCAACTTTTATCAAATTTAAATTTTCTTGATCATGTTTTGTAGCGGTTTTAGTGTAATTTCTGAATATGTAAATTTTATTTACTAAAAAGAATTCTACTAATGACATGGATAAGTTAACTTTATGGTCAGTCAAACATCGTAAGCCGTATGAGGACGTTTAAATGGGACGGAGGGAGTAACATTTTTTTTATGGTGAGGGAGTAACATTTCAATACCCGGAATGTCTTATATACACAATGGTTTTAATTCTAATTTGATAAATATATTTTACTATGTTCCAGATTTAATAGAATTTTGACCCCTCTATAAAATACGCCGTTGATAACAAGTGTATTTCGATCCATTTGTGGTGAATGGTGTTGATTATGAAATTTGGCGTCTCGCCGACACACTGAACAGTAGTATCACTCATGAGTGATAAGGTAAAATTTAATTTTAGATTCATTTTAGAACTTGCCCAATACTTGACGTGATTTTTAACCTAATATTTTCACTAGTCTTCCATTACAACACAATGTAACATATTTAAGTCTCTCCGTCGAGTTGAGTACCATCTATTAAAAATCATAGAAATGGGGTCTATTTGGAGAAATGTACTAAAATGTACTCTCGCTCATATTTAGGGGTGGACACAGGTCCGGGCCGGGCCGGGTCCGGGTTGGGTCTAGGCCTGGGCGGGCCGGCGGTTCAGGAATGGTGGACCCGGGACCGGCCCGGGTAGCCACCGGGTCCGGTCCAGGTCCGGGCCTCCGGTTTGGATTTTTTTTTTGCTTTCCTAACCCCTTCCTCCTCACCCCCCACCATCCCGAACCCCCCCAAACCCATCCTACCCATCAAGCCCAACCCGGGTGGAACCCCAAAAATGAAAAAAAAAATTCAATTTGGCCCGGGCCCGGGCCGGTTCACCAAATTTGAGACCCGAGCCCGGACCCGCCCTACCCCCCGGGCCTAGGCCCGAACCGGACCCGGACCCGAGAACCGGACCGGGCCGGTCCACGGGCCGAGTGGCCCGACCCGAGTCCAACCATACTCATATTGTATATTTCACCCTTCAAAAGGACCACATTTACATCATTTTGGACAATTGAGTGGTGACATTTACAATCTCAGAAATACAGGTCTGATATTTTAATTTCGTAGATAACTGAGGGACCATATATGCGATTTTCCCTAAAAAAAAATAGGATTTCCTATTTATTATGATGTGGATATTGTTACACATGCGTTGTTTTCTCCCATTTGAGAGTTTTTAAAGAATAACGAATTAAATGATAATACCATCAAATAGAAATAAGAACTTCTTTCACTTCCCCTTCCCTTCCCTTCCCCTCTAACGTCTAACCTTCAAAATCTCCCCTCCCCCCAAACATATCCTTAAGAATGACATAATATGAAAAACACGTGAAGATATTCATTGATTAAACTTTGGACTGTTGGGCATACGAATTGTTCTCAAGAGGGAGGCGATAATGGGAAAGGTTACCAACGGTCCAACATCATAGTAAGAGGAGCTACAGAAGTAACACCGGATTATAAAAATTATGTACTTCCGTCCCTTAAAACTTGGAGTGGACTCGGGCCGGGCCAAACGGCCCGCTACTATGCGGGCCCGGACCGGCCCGGTGAACCGGTTGGTTGGCCGGTTCGGGCCACCCGGCCTAGTGGGATGGCGGTTCGGGCTCGGGCCCTTCAAAAGGTGAACCGGCCCGAGCCAATTTTTTTTTTGAATTTTTTTTAAGTTTTTGAGTTGGGCTGTTTATTTTGGACCATTTGAGGTGGTTAGGAATGGTTTGGGGTGAGGGGGAGGGTTGGGGTAGGGATGGACTCGGATCCGGGCCGGCGGTTCAGAAATGGTGGACCCGGGACCGGCCCAGGTAACCACCGGGTCCGGTCCGGGTCCGGGCCAGGCCCATTATCAATTTTTTGTTTTTGTTTTCCTCTTCCTAATTAACCCCCCTCCCACCCCCAACCCCCCAAACCACCCCAAATGGCCCAAAATACCCAGCCCAACCCGAAAATTTAAAAAAAATTGAAAAAAAAAATAAGTTTTGGCCTGAATCCGGCCCGGGGCCGGCCGGGTCGGGTCTTGTTTTGGGTGACCCGAGCCCGGATCGGAAAACCCACGGGCCGAGCCTACCCGGACCAGTCACTGACCGGGCCGGAACAGTGCCGGTTCCGGATCGGGCCACCCGGGCCGATTCCAGATCGGGCCACCCGGCCCGAGTTTGGGGTTAACTAGGAAAAGCCAAAAAAAATTGAACCGAGGCCCGGCCCGGCCCGGACCCGGGGGTTACCCGGGCCGGTTCCGGGCCTCCCCTTCATGAACCGAGGCCCGGCCGGGCCCAAGCCCGAACCGGTCCATCCCTGCTCACAATGCAGACAACAGCACAAAAGAGTTTTCATCGGATGAACTTATTGATTACTGAATTACAACCTTTAATGATATGGTTGTGAAGAAAAATGATTTCTTGAGGATATAAGCATTATTCCCATGCTATAAAGATATACTACCTCCATTCCGCTATGATTGTCCCGTTTTACCTTATCGATCCGTCCCACTAAGATTATCTCATACCAAATTTGGCAAGGTTTGTGTGGCTCTAAATCATTCTTACTTTGTTCTTACTTTATCAATTCAATATCAACCACATAAACTACTTTTTATTGATTTGTGTGTCGCTCTCTCTTGTCCCATTGTTAGCGGGACGGAGGAAGTACTACGTATAATGTATTCAAACCCAATAACATAGGAGATCTACCTAATGAGTAATGAATATGAAATCATACTACTACCCAAACTATAATAGCTATAATACTATTTCTATACTTCACAAAACCCAGAGAACAACAAACCCATTCTCATTCAGTCACTATTCCTTCCCCATGTTATTCAATTAAGGATTTTGCCAAGCACAATCTAGGTCACTATGATGGTCATGACTGCTTTCATGTTCAGGTACTACAGAAGTGTTGGACTGGGGGCTTCCATGATATGTACTTCCCTGAACCCTGTCCTCATTGGTGTCCTCGCTGTTTGGCTTATCATGTTTGTTCCATTTTGCCATTATTTTTGGAAACAAGCGTTTCACTACTTTGGTGCCTAGTTCGGCATCATTGCTGATCCGTTCAAATCGCACAGCACTCACCTTTCTGGCATTTCCTGCTAATATCTGCATCATGCAAAAGCATTACAGGCTACCTACTGTGCAACTTAACATTCTATGACATCACAGTACCCAAGGTATGAGGCTAAACGAGTGGGTTATAAAGTGATTTTTAGCTGATTTGACATCCAGCATTCTGTGTGTTCGTTAGATGGTTGAAATATATGCAGCTAGTTAATTTTGGATTCTGGACTACTGGACCTTTGTTCCCAACCAAGAAACAAATAAGCCAAAGTTAGAGCTTACTTGTGAGGTATATAGCTAATTTCAGAGATATTCAAGAAAATAAAGATGAAGAAGAGAAGATGTGCATAAAAATGGCAGCAATCGTATAACAGAAAAGAGAGAGAGAAATACAAAGGCAGTTTAAAGAGTGCCAACTCTCCAAGTCCCAGCCCAACAAAATAATACCAGCCTCCCTTCTATTCTACCCTCCGCCTCTATTTATACTAATTATTCTAATATTATCATTACTCTCATTTATTATTATTCTATGTAGGTCCCTAACATTACTTCTCACTGATGATGAATCTATAGAATACTACTTTTAAATATTGAATCTTTTTGCCAGGAGCTGAAAGTTAATAGTTCTTGATTTGGTTATAAGTGTATAGTAAATTTAGATGTAAGTAGCTGGCGTGTGAGAAAAGATATACAGACATTTTAAAAATTGGTAAAAGATGGACAATAGGAGTTATTTCAGTAAAAGAACAGAGAAAAACTAGTAACTTGTTTCTAAAATAAGCTTTTCAAAGAAGGGCTTATTTTAAGGCCTTACTTTATTTTCCACACATAACCAATTGCTTTGTTGAACGTTAAAATGAACTTTAAGTTCCAAAATAAGCTCTAGAATACATACACCGAGTCAATGTGGGAAGAGAATGACAAGGGCCTCAATCCAAAGGCCCAAGAGCTGTTGTTGTTAGGAGGCATTAGTAGATCTACTTCTAGCCTTAGTCTCCTATAGTAGGAGAGGGTTTGTAATTTAACGGGTTGGTTAACATGTGCACCTAAAATGCATTAAATGCACTTATTAACTTCTATATAAGGATTAGCAAAAATGCTCATGATATCATGTGTGCTGAAATGCTGAAACAAAAACTCCTATTTGTGGAAACGAAAAGATTTTAAATGCATTTAATCCTATGGAACTGGTGCATATCATAGATACACGTGTATTTCCGTTTAATTATTGGAGCATTCTCATAATTACTAGTATTCCCTGTCCCAATTTGTTTTGCAAAATTTCCTATTTTGGTTGTCCCAAAATGTTTTTCCACTTTCTATTCCCACTCTTATCCTTACTCTTATCCTACTCATTTTATCCTACTCTTATCCTACTCATTTTCTATTCCCACTCACCCAACCATATCTTATCAACTTCCCTACACCCTCTTTTCTCTCTGCTCTGTGAACAAAACCACGCTAGTGCAGCAAAAATCCTATTCCTCATCACCGAAACCATAGCTTCAGAAATCAGGGAGAATCGTGTCTCTGGGTCTAGTTATCTGCCTTACAAATGCTTCACACAGACAGCATCGCCGGAAGAAAGTAGCTGCACACACCCTCCTGAAAATAACCATGAGCTTAGCAATGGCGACAGCAACAGGACGCTGGGGCTGCACCCGGCTGTTTTCCATCTTCTTTCCCATCAACGCCCCTCAGCTTTTCTTCAATGAAATGGACTCTTACATGTTTATGGCGGTGGTCCCACGCGATTCTTAGCATATGGCTCTGTCCGGCGGAGGAAATAATCCTCACTTTAATCAGTGCTCTCGCATCAATCGTTTCATTGCCTTCTCCGCCGTCCCTTTGACGTCCGTGAGATACTGTCTTCGTGGCTATCTAAGAACCGTGAAATACTTATATGTACAGAGTACTTCCTTCTGATTTTTACTTTTCCACTTTTCAGATTTGTACGCTAGTTTATTAGGAAAAGGGTAAAATGCTAAACTCGTTGTAAATTTATCTATTTTCTTAATCTTTGTGCCGTTCAAACTTTGCACTTTAATTCGGGACGGAGGGAGTATTAATTAGTCGGGTTCTATTTTAGTACTCCCTCCGTTTCTGAAACAAGTTCCACATTTGACTTCACACATATTAAGAAAATAAATTTGACTTTACTGTGGGGTGCACTGTTTGGAACTGTTTGAACACTGTTTGGCACTGTTTGGCACTTTTTGACAATGTTTTGATGTAGATAATTTGCCAAATAAGGAAATGTTTGAAAGTGGAACTTAATTTTGAATCTTCCCGAAAAGGAAAGGTGAAACTTGTTTCAGAAACGGAGGGAGTATATACTTAAGGTCAGCATTTTGCTTTCACAAACACTTAAAGTCCATTTCTATCGACTTTTGCCTACCATCCTATCCTCACAAATGCACTTACTTACTTCTCCCACTTAAGACTCCCAACCTCATGATGTAGACCATGGACGAGGCCTGCACACCTTTCATAAAATTGGTATCACTCATGAATTCGAGAAGATAGGAAACGAATCTAAAATAACAACCGTGAAAATTTTCATTGACAAGATTACGCAGCGGCCCTTGACACAGACCAGGTGTCAAAGATTCCCTTGAGATGCCAAATTGCCAACACCCCAGCTATGCCTTGCCAGGATCTGATGTACCATTCGAGGCATGTTCTAATTTTCTGAACACATTGCTACTGCATGTCTGCGAATGAGCAGAGCACATGACCATGCAAGAAGCTCTGTCCTAACAGAGGTCAGTTGAGGCGCCCACATAATGATACACTCGGACAGACATGATCGACAACACCACATGAAGCACCTGTGCACCCCACTTGATATGCTTTCCCAGCCGCACTGCAAGGCTGCAAGCCACCTCCAACTTTGACAATGCTCTCATCCACATTGGCCAGCGCCTGGTCTTCATAGTGGATCCTGGAACTCCTCAAGCACTCAAAATTTCTTCCAGTCATCATTTGTCACAATTTGCAGTTTGAGTATGAGCAACGGGGTGAAGGTGTACGTCTGATAGAGAACTTCACAATTACAGAAGTTAACTAGCAAACAGAAGAATGGTAACTAAGAAAACTGAAAGCTTCATTAATGGAGAATCCGAGTACACAGTCTGTTGTGTAACAGAAAACTAAAATCAACGGGGTAAACCGTTGCCCAGATAATCAACGATAAAAATACCGTTGCCCAGAGCCAAAAGGCTTAAACCAATTTTATTCCAAGATACGATAGAATGAACCCTGGCAAGGGGTATAAATAGCCTTCTAAGAGAAACCCTAATCAAGCCCAAATTAATTAAATCCTAATTAAGCCCATAATAACTCTACTAAGTACTCTACTAATAATAGGCCCAAAGTAAAACATAGCATTAACTTAATAATAATAATTAAACTCTAATGACAGCCATAACCCGTGCTCTTCCCGCTCTCTATCACAGTCCCAAAGAAGGAGATAAAACTCCAACTTCCCAGTCCCAGACCAAAAGTCTAAACAGCCTACTCACCTCTCCCACACTTATTCTATTTATAACCATCGCTTAACCGTAAGTAGTTAATAGCTAATAACAGAAAATAACTATTAACCAACTAACAAACAGAAGAATGGTAACTAAGAAAACGGAAAGCTTCATTAATGGAGAATCCGAGTACACAGTCCCAAAGAAGGAGATAAAACTCCAACTTCCCAGACCAAAAGTCTAAACAGCCTACTCACCTCTCCCAGACTTATTCTATTTATAACCATCGCTTAACCGTAAGTAGTTAATAGCTAATAACAGAAAACAACTATTAACCAACTAGTCTATTTATTTCTCTAGAATAGACTTGACCAGATTCCTCCTGGTGCCTCTCCCTTCCCAGTACTTCGCTGAAGGCGGTATCAGACGTTCCCGTACTTCGAGTCCTCTAGATGAAAAATTCTTGACCAGCCTTAGCATAGCATTTGCCTCTGATTGCATCCTATCTCTTGAGTGAAACTTCACACTGAATAGCTCATACAGAACTTCTTCCACACTCATGTCAGAAGAAGGCTTAAGAGAACTTGAGTCATACTGTATTTCTTTTTCTGAATTTAAGACTTCATCAATCTCCAATTGTAGCATTTGTTCCATTATATTGTACACCCCCTGTTGTCAAATTTAAGCCTAGGCTTTTTTTCTTTGTATAGTGCACCCATCAGCTGAAAATCAGAAAACTCCAATGCAAATTCAAAAGAAGTAACAATTATCAAAGGGCCATAAGTCCAACGAAAACCAGGATTGTTCTGTCCCAAGTAATTTCCTAGCATTCCAGAAGACCTTGCCATAGAATGGACCAGATCACCATAGAAATTTTTTGAAAAATTTGATGTATCAACAACTTCGCCTAGAGCTTGCTGGTAATTCTTAAGGGTCATTATCTTTATTAGCCTGCTCTCAACCCATGGCTGCAATTCTGCTCCTTGTATTTCAAGGTGTTGGTCAACGTTAAACTTATCAGCATCATGAATAGGTTTGTGGTTTCCAAAAATGATAGCAGATTCTCCTGAAACAAGATCAACCTCCTCATGAGACTCTGTACCAGATCTCTTTTTACCAATGCATGAATTTTCTGAAACCATTTCCTTTGGTTGTCGAGGTTGTTGACTTTTGACAAAAACAGCTTTATCATCTGCAGTGTTCTTGATTTTAATTAATCCAGTTTCAGAAGCAATTAGGACTCTAGTTCCCAATGAACAGAGTTGGTGAAACAGATCCACAATATAAACTTGGCTGGAAATTAAATCCGCATAGTCTGCAAGATTAGGAGAAACATAATCTGGCCATTGAATAATCTGTCTTTGCTCCTCGAATTCGTCCTTCTTATTCATTTTCTTGATTACAGATTTCTTTGGCTCCATCTCGGTCTTCTTTGTCGAATGGGAAAATTCTTGCGCAGGTTGAGAAACGGCTGGCGATAGCCCTTGCGAACTGAAAGCAACAGTTCGCGATTGCGAACTAAAAGAAGCTGTCTGCGCTTGCGAACTAGAAGAAACAGTTCACGATTTCGGATGCGATGAAGAATTCTGCGAATGGTGAGAAATCGTTCGCGATTGCGATGTAGAAGAGACAGTTCGCGATTTCGAACTAGGATTCGAAGGTCAAGATTCAGTCTGCGAACTTCCGCGCTCCCTCTTTTCCGTGATATTCCCCATTTTTCCGCGCAAAGCCTTTTGTGAGTGTGAAACAGAAGAAACAGTTCGCGACTCCTTATGCGAACTGGTGAGCGTCTGCGACGAACAATTTCTAGGGTTCCCCGCTCGACGTGCGATGTTACCACTCTCTCCATGATCGCAATTTCTTACGCGTCCATGGTGCGAAGTACTTGATCGATGCGAATGACTCCTCGAAATTCTGACCTTCAATTCTGCGATGCTAGCTTGCATCGCCGCTTGCATCACGGCCATATTAGCCGCTATATTCGCCGCCCTAGCTTGCATTTCACGCTGATTCCTCTCCACTTCATTGAGTCGTCCCTCCATTTTCATGCGTGTGTATCTCAGCGATCGACGGCTCTGATACCAATGATAGAGAACTTCACAATTACAGAAGTTAACTAACAAACAGAAGAATGGTAACTAAGAAAACGGAAAGCTTCATTAATGGAGAATCCGAGTACACAGTCCCAAAGAAGGAGATAAAACTCCAACTTCCCAGTCCCAGACCAAAAGTCTAAACAGCCTACTCATCTCTCCCAGACTTATTCTATTTATAACCATTGCTTAACCGTAAGTAGTTAATAGCTAATAACAGAAAACAACTATTAACCAACTAGTCTATTTATTTCTCTAGAATAGACTTGACCAGATTCCTATCAACGTCCATGCATCCAGCTCTAGGACAGAGAACGGGTGGCTGTCAAAGACCTCTGCCGCTAGGTTATTTTGTCGTCGATGGGGACAGTTATGCAGCATAGTTTGACATGTTTCCTCTCATTCAGTTTGATCTTATGATTGGCATTAAGTGGCTTTATGCCTTGGACCCCATCTCGTGATATACTGAATACTGATATCAAACACTTACTTGGACAGGAGAGACATGTTGGCCAGCCTTACTAGGGTATCCTACCAGGATCAGCCACTAGCCAACGAGCAAGGATGGAGGCCACTGGCAGTTATCATTGGCAGACCATGGAAAATCCTGGGACACTCGGGATTTGTCCTGCTGAGTCACCATAACAAGCCATATGCATGGAGCTTTCGGACAAACGATATTGGCTTTTAGGAAGCAACAAGGGCAGCACTGACGATTAGGAAGCATTAGTACACCTCGCTCCCTCCCATTTGAATCTCACTGTCTATAATTCTCTTGGCCTTGGAGACCAATCTTCCCTGACACCCTCACGGTCCACATCCATTCTTCTCACATACGCCATGGAAGTCGTGCACACATGCACTTATTAGAGAAATGTAACGAGAAAGCAATAAAAGATGGGTTATAAATGAAAAAACCGTTGTGCAATGAAAAGGGAAACATGATTTATGAGGACACCAGAAAGAGAGAAGAAAAATTAGAAAACTAACCTCAAGCTTATAAATTTGACTCTTTTCATTTTGACCCCCCTGCTCAGATTCAGTTCGAGTATAGTCATCATGCTCTTCTCGATTTGACTTTTCTAGCACTACTTTTATGCTTTCACCTGTCCTTGGTATGTACCCAAATGCTTCGCAAACAAAACCAGAAACTGTTTCGTATTGATGGTCCTGAATAGAGATAATAGGAGTAAATGATAGTTATTACGATGGAATTACAGAATATCATACCAATGAATGTAAAAGATAACAATTTACCTCTGGCAATTTTATCTCAAGTTCATCAGATAGCTGATCAATAGATGTATTAGCATCCACGTCAAATACTCCCTCGGCCCTGAGAACAATGTAGCCAGTTTTTTTCTGGATTTCTTCCTGCCACAGAACCAAATACTGTGATAACTTTTTCCTTAATATATCAATACTTGATAGAAGAAGTTACGAGTGTCAATGATTAATTGAAGCCAATGAGGATTTCATGAGAATATTCTCTTATTGAAGTGACAGAAAACTTTAAAGGACATGTTTCCTAATCATAAATTGAAGTAGGGATCCATCATAAACCAGTGGGAGGATAAGGATTGATACTCAAATGGATGAAATTTTAAGACGAGCCTTACTTTGGAATCGTTTTCATCAAAGATTTCACCAACAATTTCCTCAACCACATCTTCAAGAGTTACAATCTTCAAAGGAAAGACAATCAGAGAGAACATGGCAGAATAGATGATTATTAAATTAGGATACCGCCTATACCGGATAATGTTTACAGTACATAAAAGTCATAACTCATAACTACATGTAGAAATTTCTTTCAAGATGAGAGAGAATGCATACCCCAACAGTTCCACCATATTCATTAAGAACAACAGCCATGTGTACTTTCCTTATGCGGAATTCTCTTAGAAGGTTCCAAACTGACATTGAATCTGCAATATAGCAATGTTTTATTAGCAATTGGGATCCTATCAACTGCCAAACTATGTGTACGAAATAAAAATGGAGTAATGTTCTTTAGGTAAGAAGTAAGCACTAGAGAGACTTGGAGATAAGTTTGTGTGACTGTAACAAGACAGCCACATTGATAAAGAGCATCAATAGTAGTCAGAAACTTACAAGTTGGAATAATGCAAAGATATTATGCAAGTCAAAAAGTTTTACTTAATTAGATACACAAATGAGCGCGCACAAAAAAAAAACACATATAAATGTTTAGATAAATAGGGTTTTAGTTAATTAGTCATTATTTGAATTATAATGTTTATGAAAATAGAAGTAAAATAGTAATACCTCCGTCCTATATTGGTTGTCCTGTTTTAATTTGGCACGATTATTAATAAAGTGGTCGGAAAGTAAAAGTTGTGGTTGAGATTTCAGTAGAATAAAATGAAATGATAAGGACCGCATATTTCTTGCTAAAAAAGGAAACATGACATTCATTTTGGGAATAGGGACAACCCAAAAAAGAAAGAAGGAAAACCAAAAATGGGACGGATGGAGTACTAGTTAATCAATTAGTCATTTCTCTGCGAATTTAGTGACATATATTATACAAAACACTAGACTATTTAATTTTGATTCTCTCAAATTACCTACCATTGCACAGGTTCGAAATCTAGTTAGAGAGAATGGGAAAGGGGGGAGCCAGAGATTGTGGAGATGAAGGCAGCATTGCAAAAGAACTTATCACAACTCACTAGTAGTCTGAGCCTCTGGAGGAGGGGGGTTGCCAGAGGTTGCACATGGCCTTAGATGGGTCATCGAAGGTCACATGGCTTCTGAAATTGGTCACATGGGTAGGTACTCGCAACTTGCAAGAGAAGACAACGAAGAGAGAGAGAGAGAGAGAGAGAGATTGCAAACAGTGCTTTGCCAATCTGGACTCAATAAAGGGTTGTTTTTCAATCCTGAAATCCCCAAAATACCATCCAAAAGAAACTCTGATACTACCCTTATTGACCAAAGAAATAAAAACCTGAGGTGCGGCTCAAGGTCAAATCATCATCTACTTAATAATGATATTTTGTAAATTACACACTGTATATTACAAAAACTGTTATTTGTATACAGCAGAAAGCAAAACAAAAACTGTGTAATAACTTTTAAAATTTATAAAGAAATTGCAAATATTAATAATTAAACATTGAAAAATACTAGCAGCAATGGATGTTGGAAAGATTCTCGTCTCTCTAGGGGACGATCCTCTCTCTGGTCGGAGATGCATGTTTAACCTCTCGGTGGAGATACTGAGATAGAAATTAGTTTTTTTGTAAAATTGAAAGATGGCTCCTATGGCCCTATCTATACTTTTTGAATTGCGGGGTGTATCCCATCCTTTCTATTTACTATACAACATTGAGGAAAAATCCATAAGACTATCATTGATCAGCATTCAGCACATGGGAATTACACAAAATTGAATTACCAGGAACAAAGTATGCAGGTTTGTGTGCCATATCTCCAACAACTGAGCTTTCCTGCATCTCTTCCTTAAAATCAAACAGAATTCAATTCTGCATACTGTGAGATTGGTGAACAATTAGAGAATAAACAAACAGGAAGCTAAAGAGCTAGAAGTTGTAGTCCATGGACCTTTTGCACACAATCCAGAAGATCCATTGCATATGCAATACCAACGATGTTATCTATACGCTGCTCGAAAACAGGCACTCTAGAAGAGCATACTTAACTTTATTAGATCCTTGGACAAAAGAAATACTAAATTTAAGAACAGAAATTGTATTCTACCTGGAATATTGATGAGTCACCCATAAATTGTGAAAATCAACTAATGTCGCACTAGCATCTATTGCCACAATATCTACAAGTGGCGTCATAACCTCTCGAACATGTGTATCTTTGATCTCTAGTACATTTTCGATCATATCCTACAATGAGCATGTAGTAGAGACAGATTCTTTTGCAGGGATATTTGAAAAAATGAGATGTACAATTAGACAGGAGTAAGGAATACTTTCTATTTACTGTTTAGGGGGGCACTGTAGGGGGGGTGGCCTGGATAATTGCATATATCTAACTAGGACTTGGCAAAATGTTCTAGTAGTACTTAGTCTAAAAGCCACTCAGAGAGTGCATCAATATAGCACAAAACATGAGAGCTTGCTAACCAAAAATCCAAAATTAGCGAAAAGGGTTACTTGATTCCTTGAAAAACTTGCTCAATAAATTATAACCCATCTGTTCTCCTCTGAATTAGACTACAGCTGAATATTGTTTCTCTTCATCATGAAAAAGAAAAACTAATGAACCTATATGAATAAATATTGTTTCTCTACATGTATATTGTTCATTTTATTATGAATAAATAAAAAAATAATTTATGCATCAAAACAATTCTGCAGAAGTACTAGGTAGAATTCATATAATTTTTAATAGGTCAAATAGATGCACAAGTCACAAGTGGATCATATATTAGTTGGTTGTGATGTTCTTAGCATTCAGCTGTAGCCGCCATGCTTCATTATTATTTTCAAACAATAAATGCCGCAGTGTAGCAATATAAAAACAAGAATGCAAGTGCTACTACCTGCTCTTCCTCTTCGATTGCACCACTTAACTCTGCTCCACGAAGCATCAATTTTAGTTCATCTTCAGTGACATATGGTTCACTGGTGTGCCAAGAAATAAAATGATATATAAATACAAACTTAAATTTGAATACATTAATAAGACACTAACTTGAAAAAATATGAAAACTCAATAAAAGTCTTGGGTGAAATGAGCAAGGAAAGTAGGAAACAGAATGGCATCTGCTTTTAGGCACTTCTTGATTCTCAAAGGCAATATTCTGAATCAGCATTGTTTCATATTGTTTCTTCTCTTTCAACTTTTCCTTTAATTTTATAGTAGAAATATTTCAGATACATGCCATCAGGTGTTAGCCATTTTGATATGTTATTGCTCAATTGTAAATGGGAGAAATGTAGTTCGTCAGTTTCCTGACAGTTATCAATTTGTTCTCTCCTGTTAATCTAAATTTGTTTTTTTGTAAATTTACATACCAACTATTTATCTCTTGAGAACGTCATATTGGTATACCAAATGCTTTTTCTCCACATTATTTATAGTTTATGAGTGTTATATATGAATATTGCTCAAAATTAACCATTCTTGTACCCCTCTGTGACTGTCCAAATCTCTTAGAGTTGACAGTCAGATGGTGACAACAAAGGCAGTCAATAATTTTGTTATACGACAATCCAAAATAAATCCACAAACAACCTTAAAGTTAGATCATCATTAGTTAGCTCCACGCCAGAACAGGCCATTTTAACAAATAATCAGAAAACTAAGGTATGACATTTATTTTGTTTGAAAATGAGGAAGAAATCATTAATGGAACAAACAGTGCACTCCTCTTTATATATGTCCATTCACATGCATTAATGTGCAGGAATGCAGCTTAACAAAAACTAACAATATTTTTTAACCTGTCATGCACTCTTTGCAATCTCTACAGCTTTTAAAGGTATGAAAACAATATATGAGGCACATAGCAGAACTTGGTACAATGTATAGTTAGCACTTTGGTATTTAAATACTAGTATTAAACAATACAACTGTTATGTCATTCTCGATTTTTTAACACCACATATGAATATTCATAGATTTTAGAGGATTAAGACAGATAATGGATACATCCAATCAAACAAGAACAGCTAAGAAGTCAACCGCACTTTACTTCAACTCAAACCAACTTGGGGACAGGAAAATACAATCTATTATCCATTTAGTTGCACCAAGTGTCTGTTTAGGTAAGGGTAAAATAAGAGAGATGTCAGTAGGCATTTGCTGGAAGTTGAGCCCAGTTCTATTGCCCAAAGGCAATTACCTCTAGTCCTTCACTTAAGGACCACAAAAAGAACTGTGAAAAAATTAAGAATGCAACATACAAGGAGTACAAAACATATAAAACTTTCATTTGAGATATGCACACCTTCGTCCCTTCAAGCCAAGAAGTTTTAGCATTCCCATTGAAAGGTATGTGACAACTCTTCCCACAGGATACAGTATCAAAGAAAGCCATGCAACAGGCCTGACCTAAAGGCATTTGATGTCCAGTATTAACAAACGTAACTGAGGAATACTTGAGCCCCTTGTGTGTCCCTTCAGGATGAAAGAAAGGTGACAGTTTAACTTACCACAAACCTAGCAACCTCAGTGGCATTGTGAACAGCAATGCTTTTTGGAGTAATTTCAGTCAGAAGCAAAACTGCCACCTATTATATAAAAAATATTTTAAACATAAAACCACCACAAATGAGATATTCAATAGAGATACAAGAGAAAGATGATGTACTGTCATGACTCCTGTTGCTGCACTGACACCAGCTTCACCAAAAGCTGCTGTTGCAGCTTCAGTAACTAATGCTGTTGCTCCGATGTTCACAACTCTGTTTGAATAAATGAATTTTAATATGAAAAAACTTTCATTTAAGATGGGAAGCCTAAAAATATTGGGACCAAACTTCAGTAAGGGCAGTACGTTGTGCCAATGAGTATAGTTGTAAGAAATCGAGTAACGTCGCTCCTCAACATTTTAAAGACTCCATTTTCAGAATCTTTCTCAGCTAATTCCCTCACCTGAAATGGTTACGAAGAAAAGATAATGGCATCGAAAAATAATACTCCGTATAATCATATGGGTATAGGGAGAGAGATAAGATATACACGCAACCACAAATGGCCTCATACATAACCCATACTCTGTATTTCAATTACAATGAACGCAGTACAAAAAGATTTATGAGAACTCAATTTGAAGTCGAGAGATAGAATAAAGATTCAATTTTATGAGCAATACCAAAGCATAAAGCAAGAAATCACATCTGTGTGTAGCAATCCAAATGGCCAGTTCTACCCAACAAAATCTAATGATTTGGATTTACATATTTCAAATACAGTAACAACCACTTCACTAAATCAATAAGAATTTGACGGTGACAAAGCACTAAAACATTTTGGCATTTGAAGTTCATACCTTCCATGGCCAAAGCGTGGTAATTGAAGTTTCGGCCATGGAGAAAAATGCGGAGAGTCCCAAAAGCAATGCCAAAACCAAACCTTGCTCTTTCAAAACTTTCAGAACAAGCAAAAAAGTTGGCCAAGAACTTTTCAACGCCACCAGAGTTTGCTGCAAAGCCCCATAGCCAGGGCTGACAGCATTTTCTAAAGCAAACACTCTCCGGCACCCAAGCACAAAGGCCCCGCCTATTAAAGCAAGCATAACAAAAACCCGCTTCGCAAAAACCTCCACGAACTTCACATTCACACTCGTTACACCTACATTAAATTTTCCGCAAGGACAAATACGATTCACTGACAGCGGTTTTGGGGAGAGTCCACTCATATGCAGTCTGGAGTTCAAAAAAATCCGGGAATTGTACGGCAAGATGTAACTCGCACTGCTGGGGTATTTTGTACTGCGGCATAAATTCTTGGCAGATATGCTCGCGGAGATCTCTAACCGGCGGCTGTGGAGAACTCTGAATGCGGGTCGGTTCCAAAGAGAGTGCTCAAGAACTGCTGATGCAGCTGCTGCTTCCATGTTGATTCCCACGAATTATGAGTCAGATTCGAAAATAAATGGAAATAGATAGAGCGGTAAACCGTAAAATTACACCGCCGGGAGCTTGAAGAGATGAAAACCGGCAGATAAGGAGCTCATCTTACCGGCCTCTAATGCGGGCCGGATGGGGGACTGCTGGAGTTAGACTATTAACCAACCGAGCATGTATGGAACTGAGTTCTAGCTGGTTTCCGACCTATCGAGCTCTCGAACTCCAGCTCTTGAACTCGAACCCTGAACTGAGTTTAAGTTAGAAAAATGAAAAAATTCCACTTTTGATCCCCAACTTTCGGTTTGTCCACATTTAGTCCCTCACCACCCCTCATCCTTCCTGTCAAAATTCCGTCACATTTAATGCAAATTTTATGTATGAAAAAACAAATTTAATGCAAAGATTAATATGAAAAAACCCAACATGATACAAAATTAAATGCAAAGACTGATTCTGAGGCTGAGAAATGGACTAAATTTGCCGGAATTTTGGTCGGAAGAATCGAGTGTGGTGAGGGGATAATGGACACGGGCTAAATGTGGACAATCTGAAAGTCATAGACTAAATGTGGAAGTGGTATAATAGTCATGGGACCAAAAGTGGAATTTTTTCTTAGAAAAATTAATCGAGTCGAACTCGAAAGTAGTATTCGGCTCGGTTCGACTCGACTCTCGAGCCTATCGAACACCATGAAATTATAAATATAATTTATATATATGTCAAAATTTAAATATAATTAGAATGATTTTATGAATTTAAATATGATTATTAACAAACTGAATACTTGTTGAATCATTCGAACATCGAATCATTAGTATAATTAGTATGCTAATATAAATATAATTAGCCCGAGCCTATTAACGAGCATCACCTAAAATTTTAAGTTCGAACATATTTATCGAGCTTATCGAGCGCTCGGTTCGAACATCGAATGTCTATCGAGTCGAACACAAGGCTCATTTGTAAAACTCTTCGAGCTCGAACCCGAACACCACCAATTCCTTATCGAGTCGAACTCGAGCTTTGGATGTTCGGACTCGTTAACAGCCCTAGCTGGAGTGTTACGTTGGGAGCGTTGTTAACGCGATTCTCTTCCAATTAAGCATACAAAGAAGTAAAATTTCAAAAATGATGTTTGCACCCTATGACGTTTATGAAGTTTTTTTTTGTATGTGAGTCCCGTTTATAGACAAAATATGTCGTATTTTGTTTGTGCAAATTTTACACAGACAAAATAAGACATATTTTGTTTGTGAACGGAATCCACAGACAAAAAAAAAAACTTCAAAGAGGTGGGTATAAAGTGAGTTTAAGGGGTGGTACAACAAGCATTGTTGATAAAAATTTGAATATTTGTCTACTGGTCCGTCTATCAAGGGTGCAAACGAGCCAAACCGAGCTCGATCATGGGTATATTTGAGCTTGATAAGAATTCATGAGTTTGAGCTCGATCTCGAGCTTGGGCGAGCTAAGTAATTCAGGCTCAACCTCTAGTCGAGCTTTGCTCGAGCTCGGGTCGTGTTTTGTTAATTAACTTTTATAGGTTTGAGTTCAAATAGGATTCTCGAACGTGAGTTTGAATTTGAGCTAAAAATAAAATTCCTGTTTTCTGATTTTTAAAATTACATTTATAAATAATATTTAACTAATATGCATATCAGCATATGTACTTGGTCGTTCACATTTTTCACTTAATTTCTCATTCTCTGACTTTTTGATTCTTTATTTTACTATCAATAGATATTAAAGATTATAATTATTACATATTATGATTATGATAATAAATATTATTATGTTTATGATCATTACTATAATAATATACTCCTTAATAAGTATTGGAAATGGAAGAATACTAAATTAGAATACATATTATACATATATACCATTATTATATATGTAGTACGTAGTATATAGTATGTATAAAACACACACAAAAGCTCGCAAGTCACGAGCCTAAAATAAGTATGGTTGAATTGAGCTTGTTAAATACTCGAGCCGAGCTTGGATTAATCGAACTCGAGTTGAGTTTTTCCCGAGCGATCCACGAGTAGCTCGCGAACGGCTTGGCTCATTTCCACCCATAGTATGTTCTATGTATATTTTAAAATTGATACGGGTTGATCTAGCCCGAGAATGATATAAGAAAGTAAAAACATGCGAAGTAATAAGAATGAACTTAATTTTCCAAACAACCTAATAATGTACTTTGTATGAATAACTTTCATACAATAGAGAAAACAATGGAATATAATGAAAATTTACATAAGTCCAATATTATAAAAAATGCAAAATGAATATTCCAAATTTCAATTGCACACATTAGCATTACTACACGCAAGTGACGCAACAACGTTGAATACACGCGGTGTCACGCCTCGGACCTACCCGGACACGTCAACAACCCGCCGTATAGTACGAATAGTCAACCGCAGTCCAACACATCCATACTATACGAGGCGTCTCGAATATCATTCACACGCAGTACATCCATAAACAAACATAATGTAAAATATTCATTAAAGCAGCGGAAACAATATTACAAGTGTTCAAGCCACACTTAGTAAACTTAGGCATACAACCCTCCAAATAATTATTCAGAAAAATAATATCCATGAGCATTTATATAATTGTTTCCAAAACAGAAACGGGGGAAGCACGAACCACATCTTCTCTCCTAGATATCCCCGAAGCAATGGGCGTCGGTAGCAAGCTTCAACTTCTACCTGAAACTGTGAGGTGGTCTCCCCCGTGAAGGGGAGGTCAGTACTTTGAAGCATTTGAAAAGTACAATGACAACTACACTGAATATAATCAATGTTTCAATTTCTAAGACCCTCAATCTAGGGTGATATTATATTATAGGCCATAACCCTCGGTTACCCCGTTTTAAAAATATACTTACTTTACATAAAGTCAAGTATTCGGCCCATAGGCCCATATTCATTTAGAATTTTCCATATATATCCCCCGTGACCCCAAGGCACGACAACTCATAGAGTTCATCATGCCACGATTTCATAGCAAGGGCTCGGCCCAACTACGTTTCTATGATATCCGCTAGCCAAAATTCAACACATCAATATTGCATAGCAAGGGCTCGGTCCAACTACATTTCTATGCAATCTTACAATTTCATGGCAAGGGCTCGGCCCAACTACGTTTCCATGATATTCACTAATACATGGCAAGGGCTCGGTCCAACTACGTTTCCACGTACTTCGCAATTACATGGCAAGGGCTCGGCCCAACTATGTTTCCATGTAATTCTAGAGTCCGACTCTAATTCATCATTTTAGTCCGATTCTCAAACAATTACTATGCTTAGAATTCATTCACTTAGAGTAACCTTTAAGGCTTACCCCTAACATACTTTAGAGCTCATACAATTAATCCTTAAAGTATCTCTTAAGACTACTTAAGGCATCACTATTCATATTCCAATCCCTTAGGATTAATTCCATTATCATTCATATCAATCTCCCGACTAGTATTTCAATACTAGTCGGATAATCCTAGAACAACCAAGTTCATAATTCATAGTCCAATGATTAATTCCCAATGACTTTCCGATCCAAATATAATTTATTCTCAATATAAAAAATATCCCTTTTTCCATTCATGAATTCTTTACATGAAGTAAAAGTATATTTTATCACAAATTTTGATAGTAAATTCGCACTATCATGTCATCATATTCATAACACATAATCATACGCAATTTCTCTAAATTTGTATATCATGCTTCATTTACTCATATGCAATAGTATTTTCATTTAGGCATTATTAATCATTAATAATCCATGAAAATCACATTTAATACTTTAGGTAATCTTATGAAATTAACCCAACAACTATAAGCAATATAGTCAGCCATCATAACCTCGAATGAGCTTTAAGAAGTTCTACCCTTCTCGGTTGAACTCCGGCGAAACTCTGGCGAACTCCGGCAAAACTCCGGCGAAACTCTGAGGTTATCGAACAAAAGTTACAAACAAGAGCACAATGAACTAAAGCTCATCAGTAATTGACGTGCACTTTATCGTGGTGTGCACTTCAAAATAATAATTACAATACCACACTTATACGTAGTATAGTGTAGTACGGTTCGTATCCACAGAGAAAGGAATACTTTTCTTTTACGTAACTAGTAACGAAGGTTTTTTTTGATTTGATTTAATAATACTAAGATGAACAACCTATATGAGTTTAATTAATAGAGACGGGGACTTGGTTTTGCTTTTATCCACTTAATGAAATGTTCGTTGATCCTGGTTATATCTTTAACTATCTTCCTCTCGAATACTCAATCGAGGATTAAGTATTAATCGTTTACTATGAGACGCATGCATTAATAATCCAAGTTTACTACCGTGAATGAACCGAATCAATGACAAGCGTATTAATCGATCGACTCTAGTAATAATTAATATATGAAACAAAACTAGTTGATCCTTTAAGTAATGCTCAAAATATCAGTATGGAATATGAATAGGAAATAATTAATATTCAAGGAAAAAGATTGATGGATAGTGTACCCGGGGGGTAGCTTATCCGAGGGGTTATTGCGGAGAATAACTAGAGAGAAGTCAGAGCAAATAAGTAAGAGAGAGAGTGTATATTCGATATGTATTCAGCGTTTTAAGGCGTGGTTACAAATGGGGAAATGAGGTGCTATTTATAGTAGCAATAAATGCCGGACAGGGACACGTGGCAAGCGCCCATTGGCCGAGAGGTCACATCAACTGGTTGGCGTTGACAGCCGCATGTGGCCGCATTTAATGCGGCTGTTGGATGTGACGTCTGTACAGGGTACGGTGATCTGTACGCATGTGAGGCGGATATCATGTCGGGAGAGGTGCCCTCGGCTGCAGAGGACTAGCCGAGGGCTCTTAGTGCCGAGGACCCTTGAGTGCCGAGGGCTCCAGGTGCCGAGGGCTACTGTTTTCTGCCGTTTTTCCCCCAGTTTCTTAGTTTGCTCGAGAAACCCGTTCTGTGAGAGTTTCAGCCTTCGGTCAGGGGGCCGAAGGCACCCCTGGCGCGTATTGCGGACTGCTTGGTACTCTGGGCGCTGTGATTTGGGCCTGTTGGGCCTTCTGGGCCTGTTGGACCTTTACTGAAGTAGTAGGAGTCTATGGGCCGGGGGTTCCCGGGCCATATACTCCATCAAAGATTAAAGAAAATAACTCACAACGTACAAATTCATTAAGCTTCAAAGTAGAAAAACCAAGATGGAAGAGTTTAGCTCCTCATCTGGAGACTAAACATGAAGAAAATAT